AGCACCGATTGCCATTGAATCTTCAGTGTGTGCGCACAACCATAGCCAGAGCCATAGGGACATGCCTTCAGCGTTACATCAAAAGTGCCCGACACTTTGTCCAAGATCAACGTATGGGAACAGGACAAAGGTGCTCTAAGCGTAACATGAAATTAGAGCGCCAATAAGAACAAACAAGCGAATAATGTTGGTATCTCAGCTATCGCAATATACTCATTTGATTAGGCTATCGATATTGCAAGTACTTATCGTTGCCATCCGGCTAATCACTTTTAAATTCACTGAACTTGAACTAATCGATAAGTACGTACTTGAAAACTAAGCCATCGAAAGTTTTTATATTGATGCCACCCCAGGTGGTGCACATTGCTGGCCGTGGCGACTGATCGATGACCACATCCAGCTCACCGCTCATATACAGGGAATAACTGCTGAGAGTTGACACTGTTTCCTCCGATGACCACCATTCCTGCACAGTAAGCAAAACATAAAGTGCTGCACGCTCCTTTCTAAGATTCACTTACACTACGACGTTCCAGATCCTTATACTTGGCGAGCAACGCCAACAGAATCTCCCGTTGACTTCTCAGCTCCGAGGTAATTTCCCCGCTAAAGGCGCCATGATATGTGCGACCCGGCTGCTGCATATGCGTCACTTGCACGCTGCCCGATCTAATGGTATATCCAGGAGCTGTGCAATTATATATAATATTAAATATATTAAACTCTCTTTAATTATAGTAGAAGGGAGACTTACGGAAAATGCACTTTGGCAATGGCGCAGGCAAATAAACACCATCCTTATAACTGCACTTATACTCCATGTCGAGGCGTCCTTGCACCTGGAGACCCTTCACCTGTGGACAACTAAAGGTGCAGCGTGCCTCCTCCGTATCGTAGGCGCACTTATAGTTGCCATTGAAATGCGTATTGGTTACATTGCAACTAGAAATGCCTGATATACAAATTATAAGTATTCAAATTCATTTAAGGTCATCCAGATGTATGCTCACTGTATTGGCAATATGAGCCGCGATGCATCTTGGAGCACTGACAGATGTTGAAGCTGATGCACTGTCCGCCGTTCTCGCAGGCCGGCGAGCAGGTTGCTGAAGATATAGAAGGTCAGCTTACATTATATAACCGGAATATGCTGTCCACTTACGGCCACAGTCTGGCATCTTGGCAAGTCCAGTTTTGGAATGCACCCACTGGCCATTGCGGCATTCAATGTTGGCGATGCCGCTGCCGTCCGGGAACTGAAAGCCTCGCATGCATTGAGCATTACAAAAACTAACAGGAAATKCTATATTAAATATATATAATGGTTGATAYARCCCACTCAACTCACTTATTTTTGCAGGACACCTTGGAATTCTTGGGCACTGGCGGCTTGGCAGCACACACGGACTTCTTGTGCTGGCATAACGGGCCTGAATAGTTCTCCGGACACTGGCATATGCCTGCTTGTAGGCAGATGCCATTGTTCTCGCATGGCGGCAAGCACACAGCCTGACAAGGCGGCACTCGAGTAAACTCCGAGTTTACTATTATCCAGCCATCGTTGCTGCAAAAAAGATCCAGGGATCTGGTGTCCTGGGAAAACGTATAACCATCCGGGCAATACACTTGACACTTACCACTGCCATCGCATTGGGACAGCACATTTTGTGGCAGTGGAAGCTCTGCGCATTTGCCATACGTTCTCAACGATTGAGCGGCATTTCCATAAAAGTTGCCCTTCACACTGGGGAATTACATTATATATGATATACAAACTATATAAATAATCTGACAAATTTTACCCTTTGCCCATGCCGAATAAGCTAAGCGCATTGTTGAGGATGTTTGAGCTGCATTTAGAGTTTTTAAATTTTATATACTAATAGAATGTATTTAACTCTACACTCACCTCCCGGTCTTAATGCTGCCCTTGATAGGAAACAGCTTGCCACCATAGTCAACGTTTGCAGGCGGAGCATCATTGTAGTCGTAGGTATAGCGTGCACTAAAGGATAATCAATATACATATACATATTCCTACAATAATTTCATATATATCGCACCTCACAGCAGGCGCCTTACGATATCCAAAATTGAAATGACGTTCCTGGCGTTCCTTATTATCAACATCCGGTGCCGACTGAGCCAGGGGACTATCAAGTAGCGAATACAGTACCCGAAGGCATTTAATTAGATAACATATAAATTCAAATGCGAAATAAGTTTTAATTACAAAACACGATTTTATCTTAGAACAAAATTTGCGTAGCGAAAGCGGAAGTCGAAGTTTGAGAAATATATTCTGATGATTGTTAAATATTATATATATAGTATATAGAATAGAATATATACATATATGGTATATAGTATATATAGACATATATTAGAAGAACATTTCACTTTTATATTATGTTTATTTTAGATTAAGCATTTCCTGTTTTATCAAAAAACAGCTTCATGTTTAGAACATACACATGTTTTATATAATTTAATTCATTCTATTGTATTTTACACACAATTCATAATCTGTCACTCACTCTATATCTTGATCATCATCATCAGACATAATTACATCGCCTTCCTCGGCGCACACTTGGTTGAGAATTAGCAACCATGCCAAGAAGTAAGTGTACTTGGATGCCATTTTATGGCAGGCAAAAATATATTTTTATTTGTATTGCATATATCACTGGTAATCCGTTTTATCCTTGATATTGAAGTATTCAATGTTGGCAGTCCGCTATCCTGCGAATCCTTGTCGATTCACTGCACAATTAAACACTTCACAATTTATTTTCACTTTAGCACATATTCACTATTAGAACCCGTTAGTCAAAGCGACCGCGCGAACGCAACTAATTAAGCAGTGGATCCCCAGCGCCTTTTATAGGCCCCAAACTAAAGCCAGACTCCATTTTGTTTTTAGTTCTAATCAGAGTTTTTGTGCTTCCTAAAGTCGACGTCAATATGCTGATTTCTGTGTAGTTCGCATTTCAAACTCACTTTTTTTCTCGTCTTATCGCCGCTAAATGTGCCAAGTTGAAGCTGGGAGTGCAATTCAGCAACTTGGAAGCGATAAAACGAATTCTCGCACTCAAAGATATTATGAAACTGACCTAATGAATATGCCAAGGTTAAGTTTATAAATAAATTACATAAGCGAAACGCAAATCAGAAGTTACGTCGCCATTCAGCTTTATCTGCATGCAAACCATGAATGAATTAAATAATATGTGCGTATTTCGCATAACGTTATATTTTCAAGTTAAATACGTAATCAAACTGCCGAAAATTAACCGCCCAATTTTCTGGTAACGGCTAATAGTGTCAATTGGCTATCAATGACAACACTGCTTATCGATTGCAACCGATACTTTTCTGCATAGTGCTGCCCATATAAACAGTGACTAGGCGCCTCGATTTAAATATATTAATTAATATTCGAATATACATATATAGAGTTCATTTCTTTTATTTGCTTAATAACTAATATATCTAATTTGTAGAGCAATTTGAAAGTACAGTTTATCACAGGAAACAGCAATCACCAAAATGCTATTCGCTACTTGTTCACAATTCGGATTCCGAAGCAAAATTTTGGCGACGGGATGTTGATAAAACAAAACTTCCAAAATAAAAATATATATAGCTATATTATATATAAATATATTATAAACATCTGTTTACTACTGCTGATTCGTATAGGGTTCAATATCTCGCTGCTGACGCATTGCCTCAGTTTCAGCGCCCACAGCGCAAGCTAGCAGAGAGTTAACCGTTTGCTCTTCGCCCGCTTTATACACATAGCCGTTCGCTTTGTCAATGTGATTGCGCAGCCGGAGCATGCTGTCTGTACTGAACGCATCCAGCAGTTTAAAGGAAACCAGCGCATAGTCCTCCACCATGGAGCAAATGGCCTCGTTGAGCTTCTGATGTTTACGCATTGTGGGATCATCATCTAGTTTCTCTAGTAAATATTTCAGATCAAGCACATCCGTGTAGTAGTCAACGTTGAAGTGAAGCTTCGATTCATGTTTACGAAGCAGATCCGCCTTTGATAACACATTCACATGCGGCAAACTCATTCGCATCATCGTATTCAGCGCCATCAGCAACGTAGCTATGAATTTAGCTGGCTCGGAGCAGTAATGCGAATCGATGAGATTGACTGTCACCAAATTGTAGCGCTCCCGTTCCAATCGCTCAAAGACTCGCGCCATGGCAGTGTGGTGCGTGTAGAGCTCCACTTGGCCAGGACAGTCGAAGAGAAAGTAATTGTGCGTTGCACTCAGTTTTCTCAGTGCCGGCAGCAGCCAATCTTCGAAATGCTGTTCCAGATATTCGGCACAATGCATGAGTGCGCCATTGGGTCCCAGTTGCATGTGCTCCATGCAATCCTCGACCGTAATCAGCTCCATTACGTTGACTACCGGCTGATAGGACATGTTGTCGTTGCCTGGATCCAGATTGACGACACCCACTTGCCGACCCAACTCTTTATAGAATTTATACGCTTCGTTGCAGTACGTTGTCTTTCCAGAACCAGGTGGACCTATTATTAATTGGCCATAACGTGGATTTTCTACTCTCGGTTGAACGCGTTGCAGCATTTTGTATGTTTATTTATTATTGTTGTGATCAGTGTGACCAAGTAGAAATATCAAAAATAATCCAATAGGTGTGTGACTGCAAAATACTCATTATGGCACTGTTATTCCGATACCTCCACCATAAAATCGTCTCCCGATATTTACAGCTGATAATAAAAACATCGACTATTTCGATAAATTAACATGGCGGTCTTTAATTAAAAGTACTTAATAACAAATAAACATACTTTTTATTAAAAATACATATAACTGACTAAAGTTTAAGATAGATAAATACATTTATTAATACTGATGCATAATTTGAGTAAATTTTAAATCTATATGAATTATTATATAGGTTAAAATTTGAATAAATAAATTCTCCAATGGGTATTACATACATACATATGAATTATTAAAAAATGTAGCGTGCATTATTTGATTATATTGAGAGTGCAATAAAAACGAGAGTCTTGGTAAATCACTTGAGTGCATCATTGGCTGCTGCTGCCGCTTGTGCTGTTTACTTGGCTTCGCCTTCAATTGACTCCTTTTGCCCATTGTTCTTCTGGACAAAGAGATCGGATGGCCCGACATGTTTAATCGGTATGATGCGTTCGGCTCCCTCAACTTTGGGATTTAAGGGGGGCACCGTTATAGTCAAAACACCTTCGTCAGTTAAAGTTGACGCGATGGCGTCTGCATTGTACTCCTTGGGTAGGGGGTAGCGACGTACAAAATGGCGATAGACGTGTCCGTGTTCGTCTTCACGTTCCTCGTGCTTCCCCTCAACGATGACGCAATTATCCACCAGCTTGACGCTCAGCTCACCTGGCTCAAATAGCCCCACATCGAGGTGCACCTGATAATTGCCTTCTTTGTCCTGGCCAGTGGATCGGGTGTGGCCTATTTCGCCACTGTGCTTCTGGGCCACCAGATGACGAGCATGTGCACCCAACTGGGCAATCATACCCAATGTATGCAAATCCAAGGGATCGTGATGCCGAGAGTGCAGCCGACGATACATGCGATTGGGGAACATGTCGTGGCCATAGAAAATGGATTCAGGGCCATCCAAGTTCAGCACAAATGGAATGTCTGGCATTTTTCTTATTTTTTCGCTTGAAATTAATTCACAAATTGAGAATCTGTATCTGGTGGAGGTTCACTGAACCCAGCTGCGACAGTGTCTTGCTTTCCTTGTGTAGGTGAGGGTTGATTTTTTAGCGGTAGTTTTGCTGGGCTAATACAATCACAATTCAACTTGAATGTCGCGACAAAAATGTGAAGTTACTGAGAGCAGAGTTGACTTTTATACTCAAGCCAGGAAAAGCTCTGCTGTTGGGAATTTTCTGGACTGAATGCAGTTGCTCGAGCTTTTTGGAGCGAACACACCGACTATGGCGACGAAATTGCGAAGTTCTGGGGCGCAGAACCGGCACATCAAAAAGCTCGGCTACTGGAAGCAACAATTGGGAATTTATTTAACTTACTGCAGCATTTTAAAGTTTGAGCTTTGAGAGCGAACAAGTGAGTGAAGTTCTTCATGAAAAAGCTTTGCTGTGCTGCAGCGGCAATTGGGAATTGTCTGGATTCAATGCAATTTTTTCAACGTCGAGGTCAAGCTTTGAGAGCGCGCCAAAAAATGGAAACACAAACCGCAGACACCCTTTGCTAGAATTTAAACTCGATACATTTTTCAAATAGTAAACAGCCAGCCGCTGCTGCTGGCGTCTGTCTGGAAAACAAAACAGTTCACGCAATTCGCATTGAAGCAGCGTCTGAGGTGAAATTCGATGATTGGCCGGTGGCGGTTGTCGCCAACGCTCAACAACAAAGCGACAACAACAATGAAAACCGGCTACAGGTTAGATTTCGATTAACAATCCGAATCTGAGTCCAGCTGCGGTTACTTTATTGTAGCTGAAGCATGCGGCTGATAAACATTAACATTGGCGCTGCCAACGCCGCCGCCGCTGTCGCTGTCGACGCTTTCGTCATCGTCTTGACAGTGGCTTCGCTCTTGCCCATTATAAGTGCCAACGATTCGACAAACAGAGAATTTAGTGATCCGTCGGCAATCAAACCAGGTGAAAGCACTATTTCGAGTGCTGCTAATTTGCATATTAAACGAAGCAAAATAATGGACGCTACATACGAACAAGTCAAAGATGTGCCCAACCATCCAGAGATCTACCTGATCGATGTTCGCAATCCAGAGGAGCTGACGGCAACGGGCAGCATCCCCTCCAGCCTCAATGTGCCCTGTCAGTATAATATTAAGCTAAATACACTTTATTTACTTGTTTGTTATATTTATATTTCAATTGATTTTCAGTGCCCGAACTGGAGGCCGCATTAAAGTCCGACTCAGAGGAGTTCGAAAAGAAATATGGACGTGCAAAGCCGGCAAATGATGCAAATATCATATTTACCTGTCGCTCGGGCAGACGTGCTCAGGAGGCCGCAGAGATCGCCAAGACAGTGGGCTTTACCAAGTAGGTTTCTCTTTTCCTCAGATCTAGAATGTCGTCTATACAATATTAATATTTTACTTGCAGCTTGAGCGTCTATCGTGGCTCCTGGCTGGAGTGGGCCGAGAAGGAAGGTCTTCCACAGTGATATCTAAAAAGCAAAACATTCCACTCTACACTTACTCTTTGGCWTCTAATATAATTTAATTCAAATTTACTAATATACTATATACATTTATTTAAACAATATACATATACGGTTGCGGAATAAATTTGAATTTAAATGCAATTATTGCTTTCGCATATGTATGTATATATTTCTCTATATAAACAAGTTTTACACGCACGATGAAATTGGTTTATACAAACATATATAACAACTGTAGATAATTGGGAGAGGGGGTAGAAGCTACGCCTATAATATAATTATTATTTTCACAAGATAAAATCTAATCTTTTTCACGCGCAGGTTATATCATAATTATATTAAAAAGCTAACCCCTTTACTACGCCCATGCCCCATGCCTCACACACACACACATGAACGCAAGCTCATTTTACTGAGAAGACACACCAATGTATACTCTCAATAAACCACTCTCACTACCCACCCTCTCTCTCTCTCTTCTCTTTCTTATTTTTTGAACTGACCTACCGCACTGGTGTTTGTAAATAAAAACTGCTTCGCTTTGTTAAATTTCTTGAAACTTCCATTGTTAAGCAACAATTAATAGAAATGAAAAGTATTTTTACTTTAAATGCAATAATAGCATGCCCTCAACAAACACTATCTATGTAAATGCCAGCCGTATAAGAATATTCAAAATTGCATCAGCTGCCTAGTCGGGAGAGTGCGAGAACATTCTCGAATACGTTGACATTTCCTATAAAAGGCAGCCGGCATTTTCTGCTCTCAACATTTGAACAAAGTACGTCAAAGTGAAAAGAACTGCCGATAAGCAGTAGCGAGCTAAGGAGAAAGGATTTCGCAAGTGATTAAAGTTATTACAAAATAAATTCAACAAAAATGCGTTCGTTACCGATGTTTCTACGTATGGCCGAGGAGCTGACCAGGTTGCCGCGTGTGTCGCCGTTCCAGGCCTTCTTCCACGAGCCGCAGATGTGGACCGGCTTGACTGTGCCTCGCAATTGGCAGCAGATAGCGCGCACACAGGAGCAGCAGTTTACACCGGCTGCCACCATTGGCAAGAACGGCTACCAGGTGTCTCTGGACGTCAGCGAATTCAAGCCCAACGAACTGACAGTGAAGACGGTGAACAACAGCGTCGTCATCGAGGGAAAGTCTGAGCAGGAGGAGGATGCACAAGGTGGCTACTATTCCCGTCACTTCCTGCGTCGCTTCACTCTGCCCGAGGGCTACGAGGCAGAGAAGACAACGTCCAGCCTGAGCAGCGATGGTGTTCTCACCATCAGTGTACCCAATCCGCCAGCTGTTGAGGCGGCGCTCCAGGAACGCATTGTGCCCATACAACAAACCGGGCCAGCGGAACTGAATGTGAAGCCAAATCCTCCACTGGATCAGCCTGCTGCGAAGGAGCAGGAGAAGAAGGAACAGTGAATCCTATACTATAGATATCCTAGTCCCGCAATAGCTGTAGAATTAGCATTTACATAAAAAAAAAAAAAAAAAAAAAACTACAATAAACATAAACAAATCAAATACACTTTCGTTTTATTACGCTTGGCAGCAGCCACATGCACTCGGCGCCCCTTCAACGCCTGTCCCGCCCCTTAGCCCGACGGCCGGTTCCTTGATGACGTCCACTTGACTCGCGTCCAACATTATTGCATTTCGCAGTTGCCGTTAGACACGCTTGTGTCTTGTTTGTTGGCCTTCGCGCATCGGGCAAATGATTCATCAGCCATCCGCATCCGGCGCAGCCATCGCACGAGGCCACTTGGTCGTTGTCGTTGTCTTCTCAGTCTTCGTAGCCCCTGGGGCAGGCTATAAAAGCGCCGACAGCGCCATCAACAAATTTTATAAGCATTCGAGACGAGAAACCTATTAGAAATGACTTTGGTGCCGACCACGTATCGCGATCTGTCCCGGGAATTAGATCGACCGCGTCCACTCTACCAGCCATATGACTTCCAGCTGTACCCCTACCTATGGGACGATCCGCGCATCTGGTGGCCCACCAACAGCAGCGACTTCTTGCGTCCTTTGGATGAGCTGGTGAGCAGGCGAGTGCGCAACCAGCTAATACAATCGACGCCCTACGACTGGTCCTATCCCATGCGCTGGGACAACTATTACTCCGGCGAGCGGGTGCATGCGGATGAGAAGGGCTTTCGCATTGACATCGACGTGCGCCAGTTCCGACCACATGAGATTGTGGTGAAGACCAACGATGACTACATCATTGTCGAAGGCAACCACAATAAGCGCAGCGAGGGCGCCAATGGCTACGTGGAGCGACACTTTGTGCGCAAGTATCTGCTTCCGCGTGGCTACAATGCCAACGAAGTCATCTCCGATATCTCCTCGGATGGCATTCTCACCATCAAGGCGCCGCCGCCGCCACCATCCAAATACTATACGCCCAGCGAACGGCTTGTCCGCGTTCATGAAACAGGAAAACTAGCGCTGCCCTGGAAGTAGCTGCGCCCCCTCTTCAGCTGCTGCTGACATCTTTATAGCCTCTTTCGCATCATTGGGAAATATTCAAATTCAAGGTGAACTATTTGTGACCACCGTGTTGCATCGAGAATTCTAATTTTATTTTAAATGCACAAATACAGAAAAAGCGCTTGATGCAATCTTAAATGCGCAATAAATTGAATTTTATGTCTTTAATGGAATAGATCAGTTATAAAAAAAAACAACACATCTAGGGTTACCAGCGCTGTCATTTTTAGGGATTTTCTTGCTGTTTTGGTTCTTTGTGGATTTTGCCAGAAGCAAAACCAAACTGAAGTTACCCAACACGAAAATTTAAATAATACGTTTTGCAGTACTTTTTAATGACAAACTTTATGGAATCCCAGCTAAAATAATACGAAAAGTAAAATAGACAAAAATTTAATTTTAGATGTTTTTCATTTATATTTTCGCCTTCCGGAACTATTCCGAAAAGCAATTTTTTTCAGTTATTATTTTAGATTACAATTATTAGTCTTCTATTCATTAACATATATGATCTAATAAATACATTAGGTTTTTGGTAAGGAATGAGGAATGACACAGGTTGTGAGGCTGTTCTAGCTTATAGTTTCCAGATTCTATTTGCCATTGCTGGCATTCTTCTCCTTCTTGTCCTTCTCGTTCTCCTTCGACTCGTCCTCGTTGCGCTTGACGTTCAGATGAGCCGGGCCCACTTGCTGAATTTGAATCACACGCTCCTTGGACTTGTCCTCGATGGGCTGTGGCTTTGGTACACTCACAGTGAGTACGCCATCGGACGATAGCGAGGAGACGACCTTATCTCCGTCGTAGCCCTTGGGTAGAGCATAGCGGCGCACGAAATGGCGTGAGATGTAGCCATGATCGTCTTCGCGTTCCTCGTGCTTGCCCTCGACGACAACGCAATTGTCCACTACTTTGACGCTCAGCTCGCTGGGAGTGAACTGAGTGACATCCATGCACACCTGGAATCCGTCTTTGCCCACTTGCGAGAGTGGCCACTGCCAGCCATCTCCAGATCCATTTGCGGACTTGGCCAAGTCACGCCTGCGACGGCCGGCCAAAATCTCTCCAACCGTCGAAGCGGGATAGTCTGGGAAACTCCAGGGAGTCAATAACAGCTGACGAGTGGTTCTAGGTTGCAGCTGAATTGGATGAATTCCCAATCCGTAATCGTAGAGGGGAGTGCGAGGCTCCTGCAGCTCGTTCATCAAAGAAACAAGTTGAGATAGCGACATTTTGCTTTAATTTTTCTTTCACGTGTACCACTTTTCTAAAAACTGAAGTAGTTTCAAACGTTTGTATTCTTTGTTGTAAGCGCTGTGAATCTCTTCACTTGACGATTGATATTTTTCAACTGAAGCAATGAACTCAGACAGCGGCCTTTTATAGCCGGCTGAGTGGTTTTCTAGAAGCATCGAGCTTTTACGAGTTGAGTGCGAATCGGAGAAACAGAGCGAGAAACATCGCGTGCTTGCTAGAGTGTTTGTGTGTGTCACAAAAAAAGAGAATCGAATATACGAGAGAATGCGTGTTAATATTGTGTGTGTGAGAGCGAGAGAGAATGTCAGACGGTGCAAAAAGTCAAACTAAATAACAAAAGCAATTAAAACAGGCAACTTCAGAAGCTCATTCCAAACTCTTTTTTTTTTTTTAATAAAAAGCCTATTATTTACGCGTGCAGGCAGACATGTTCATATTTACATACATACATACACGTCTGATTATGTACATATGTATGCACCTACATACATACATAGATACATATACGGATGTATGAGTGTACGTGCATACATACAAACAAATGTACATAAATACATATGCATACATACATATACATATGCCTACGATTTTATTTTTATATTTTCAAATTGCATTTATTGGGAAACTAGAAATTGCATTCAAAATACATTTGTAGGACTGTATGTACATATACATACATACCAAAAATAATACACACATACATATGTACATTCATACATACGTATTTATTTACATATACATAGGATTGGGTGTACTTTCGAGAAACTAAATCATCGCGACATACCCAAAAATGTGCCTATATACAATACATACTTATTCAAAAATACATACATATATGCATACATATGTAAGTATTCATATACATACATATGTACATATGTATGTTTATCCTTGCTCCTGAGAACTCATGCATACATACATGTTTACGTCCACACGCACTATGTAAAGCGGCGAAGAATACATACATAAGTACATACGTGTACATACATCTCGAAATGTGTATGTATGTATGCATATGCCTATATTTGTCACTACTATAAATTATTGCATAAAACAATTGTATTCCCCATTTTCAAGAAAAGTTAAGCCAAATTTAATTTTAAATTAATTTTATTTTTTTCTCACAGTAAACATAAATGCAAATACATAAGGGTCGAGTGTTGCCGCTGCTCTTTTAAATGACATATGAATTACATTACAAGTACATACATAGCTAACAAAATGGAATTTTTACATTTCGATACCTTATAGCTAAATGTGACGTAGCTTGTGATGCTTATGTGTGTGTGTGTGTATGGGTATGATTTTAGTCTTGCACTCTCCGAACAGTGTGGCAGCACTCAGTTTTCGGCTAAACTTCTCCTCCCTCGAAGTTCACCTATTTGCCTGTCTCCATTTTCTCGCTACCATTTTCGCTCTTCCCTTTGCCGTCAGCGCCCTCTGGTGCCTTGACGCTGAGATGTGCAGGGCCTGTTTGTTGGATTTGAACAATTCGTTCTTTTTTGGCCTCCTTGCTGGGCGGTGGAGGCGCCTTCAGAGTCAGCACACCATCCGAGGAAACAGTGGAGACCACATCGTTGCCATCATAGTCCTTGGGCAAGGTGTACTTGCGCACAAAGTGGCGCTGGATCAACCCATGTCCATCCTCACGCTCTTCGTGCTTTCCCTCGACGATAATGGTATTGTCCTGCACCTTAACAGACAGCTCGCTTGGCTTGAACTGTGCGACATCCATGCACACTTGGAAGCCATCTTTGCCAACAGTGGGCAGCAGTGAATTCTGCCCAACGGAGGCTCGACGACGTGCGGGCAACAACTGATGGCTTCTCTCGTAGGGTGAAAAGTGAGAGCGGCGACGATGCAAGTGATGTGGTATCACCAGACGTGGACGGTGGAATAACTCGTTTACATGCAGTCCAAAGCCAAAGTCATCGTCCAAGAAGTGGTCCCAGTCGCTGTAGGCGCTATCTAGATCGCGAGCCAGACTCAAGAGTGGAACAATTGACATTTTTACTCGTTCACTTTTTTTTTGCTTGGTAAATTATCGAAAATTTGTTTTTTTTTTTATATAGCTTCTGCGTAGCAGACGTGTTTTAAACAACGGTTTGAATAGAATTGAAGAGGCGCAAGGAACGCAGCGGGTTTTTATACCGACGCCAAACCGACTCACACACACAGAGATAACATGTTGGTGATTGTTCTCGTTCGCTCTTGAATTTACTCGCTCTTTCTGTCGGCAAATAAATATGTACGTATGTGTGTGTATGTGTGTGCCAGCCGGCGTTTTATTTTGTTTGCTCTCTTTGCCACAAATAAAAATCTACCAGTTTCTTGAAATTTCTGTGCATGGTAGCAATATATGTACATACATACATTTGTAAATACATACACATGTATGTAAGTGTGTAAATACATACTACGTACATACATTTGCCTATACAAATATATGTTTGCATGTACTATGTGCATATACGATATTTTAAGTATTTCTTTATATAAACCGCCTGCATTTTAAAATTCGTATGGCATTTTGCTAAAATGTTAAAGTATATTTAGGAGACCACTAGCAGAAAAACGCATCCACTCAGACGTCAACGTTGCCATTTTGCAAGTACAATGAACTTGCAGTCTCTGTTTGCCGAGACCGGTTTGTTTGTCATTCTTTATCCTCGTTTTCTTTTCTCTGTATTGCAATACATATATACACACATACATATGTATGTATATTACTCGTGCATGTAGATGTTCTGTGTGTAAATGTAAATTCTCTTTTGAGTAAGTTGCACATGCATTTAAGGGAAATTTGCAAGCTTTTAAGTCAAGCAACTAAATGTAGTATAATGCTACTGGTTAAGCTTTTCATGCACAGATATGTACATATATACATATGTATGTATGTCTAGATGTACAACATACATATGTACGTATACGAATGGAGTTGAGTTTAGTGGTGTCGAAAAGTTCCCTGAAAAATTCGGGTATTTCTCCCAAATAAAATTTCTCGAACAATTCTCACGTACACACTAATGTACACACATATGTATAAATTGTATACATGCTGTGTACACGACTGCTTTTGACGTCCATATGTATGAACGTATTTATCACATTTCGTCATTCCCTACCTACATACATACACATACATACATATATCGATGCACACATAGAGACTGTTATGTACATACATCTGCTGCTACCCATAATGAAAACTCATTGAATTACAGTAATTAAATTTGTTTTTTATTTCGAATATAATAGTTATATAAGGCTTAGGTAAAGGAAACATATAGTACATACATACTTACGTATGCATGCATATATATGGCTATGTGCTAATAGGTTAAATACATAAATGCATATCGAACAAATTATTGACTTCCATAATTGATTATAATAATAATGTGATCTACACACTAAAAATAGGTTAACTTATGAGATGCTCAGTTCATTTCTCGGCTTTGGCTTCTTGCTCTGGCTGCTCCTTGGCGTTCTCCTTCACGTTGAGATGGGCAGGTCCCACCTGCTGGATCTGGACAACACGAGGATTGCTCTTATCTTCGATGGCCGCTGGCTTCGGCACGCTGACAGTGAGCACACCGTCAGAGGATAAGGTGGAAGTTACTTTGTCGGCCTCATAGCCATCGGGCAGAGCGTAGCGGCGCACAAAGTGACGAGTGATGAAGCCATGATCGTCCTCTCTCTCCTCATGCTTGCCTTCGACGATGACCGAGTTGTCCACAACTTTGACGTTTAGTTCGCTGGGCTTGAACTGTGCGACGTCCATGCACACCTGGAAACCATCCTTGCCAATCTTCGATACTGGACCAATGCTACCCACTTGTTTCTCTAACTGGCGCAGCTGCTGGTCAAGAGGCACTGCAGCCAATGCCAGGAGCGGATTACGGTTTTGGCGCTGCCAGTAGTAAGGAGTGTCGTAGAATGGCACCATCGACAGACGGTTGAGATCGTCAGCCAAGCTCAACAGAAGTGGAAGATTTGCCATGTTTTCTCTTTTTTCAACAATACTTTATAACTTCTTCAGAAAAAATTATTTGTGCTTTTGTTCCTTGGCGTTCCTTGCAGGAAGGCTTTGTGTTGACTTTTTGTTGCTTGTTGCTTTGCTTTTTCGAAGTAAACTGATGACGGGAACGAAATGCGTCGCGTATTTATAGCTGCCCGGTGGTGGCTCTCGATTACGCGCGCGCTCGTGCGTGCGAGAGAGATAGCAGAGTTGGGCACGCCAAGGAAACTTCTGGCTCTGGCTAAAGTTGAATAATTTTGCCGATGTTCTGGAAAGCGCTCGAATATGTGTATGTACGTGATGCTTGTAGATATGTATATACAAGAATACATACATATATATGTAAGTAAGTATATAAAATTTATATATTCATTTGCAGCATTATCTAGCAACGAAAGTGAGAGTGTTTCGCTGAGATAGCAACAGCAGCAGTTAAAGAGCGAGAAAAGTGATAACAGAGAGAATAAACAAACAAAAACATTGCAGATAGAAGAATGTTCTGTAACTTTCCAGATAATGTATATATGTACATATCTAGAAAATTTGTTAATTTACAGCTATAGACATTTTCATTTGCTCTTTTAAATTTATTTATTAATATTTCACTGTGGACTTTATTTTCATTCGTTAACAGCGTAATTTATTAATGGCAATTTTATCAATGTACGAATGTATGTATGTATGTACGTAAATGTATGTATATATGTATATGTAGGTACTAAATGCAGATATGTACATTCATAAAAATGTACATAGTAATGTTTTGATGTTTCAATAATGAATATAGTATGAAAACCCGAAAAATTAAAGATGACAAAGCGAAAAGTAACATTTTTTTCTCTTTTTCTTTTCGTTTCTTTACTTTGGCACACACAAAATGTATTTAGTATACATATGTACATACATACATATGTACATATATACTTTAGAAACATGTAAGTGTGTATGTATTATGTCTAGATGTACATACAATTTCATAGTAGACAATGTTCTGTAACTGTGTATATACATACATATGTAAATATGTATGTACATATGTATATGGGATGACAGTAAATAAATATAATCATAACAAATAATATATTTTATATACGGATAACCATATGTACAAGCATCCATACATAAATAGATAGTACGTATATATATACACATACTATATATTTGTATATATATACGTATTTATGTACATACATGTATGTATATATGTATGTACATATGTACTTTGCGCTTACAAAATTTTCAATCAGCTTATGAATTTTCATGACAACGATAGCTCCGAATATATACAACTGCACATACATATGCATGTATGCATATAAAAGTACTAGCATATATAGGTATATATGTATGTACATATGTATGTATTCATTAATGGATAGCTCCAGCTTCGTTGCCAGCCCCTTATTTTGTTTGTCGTTTTCACTATTGCACAAGTCTCCAAACTAGTGTCTGGCTCTTGTCTAGAAATTGCTTGTATGTGTAACAAATTTTATACACACACGCACCTTCATATACGTATGTTTTATGCATTGTATTGGCGTGAGTACATCAGCATTTGTTGCTGCATACAATTGCAATCTATAATATATATGAATATTTGTATATACATAGCTTCGCCAAGGGGCAATGCGCATGCTTTGCGCCTGCCCCACTGCCGGCTGTTGCCCTCTTCGACTTAATTCCATTATCAACAAATTTTCAGTTGCCGGTTGGCCTTCCAGACCACAAACACAAATGCACACGCCGGCAATGTGTCTGTGTGAGTGAGTGGAGAGACGCAAAAACCAGCTGTTGTTGTAGTTGCTATAATCGCGCCGGTTCGGCAACCGGCCTGTGGCACGATACGTTTTTGCGGCCTCTCAGCTGTTTAGCTGTTTGCCGGCTGAGCGCAGGGAATTCAGCTGCAACATGGCTACTTTACATGCTCGTGTCTTCATTTCTTCATTTATATGCATACATACATATGTAGTAAGTAAATGGAAGTGTATTTGTGGACAAACGTTCATATATGTGTATGTGTGTTCGTATATATGCATAAATAGTATTCATATGTATGTACATATATTGCCGTGGCAACTCATGCCCAGAGCCGAGGCGTAGGTCGAGAGGCTGTAGCCGGTTTTCAAGTTGTGCCGGCTTGTGTATGTTTCTCCATCGTTTGCGGCCTGGAATACTTTCTTTGTTCTCGCAACCGGAAAATTGCCAACTTCGCATTGCGAAAAAGTAGACACATCGAAAAATACATACATACATAGTGTGTCTATATACATTCATATGTAGATGTGTGTGTGCGTCTTTTTGCCGATTTGGATCTTATTTCGAGGGGTGTCGTCGCCAGGTTTAGTTCTATTGATTTTTTGCCAAAACTGTGCAAATAAACAAAGATTGCACATGGGAAACGTTGGCCCAGCCTCACTTTGCATAAGCCGACGACGATGACGACGTCGAAGTTTACGCCGACACCACAACTCGGCGACGGCAACAACGATGATGTTGGATACGAGCCGGCATTCGTAGTCGCTGCTGCAGCACGCTTCCAGGCCAGACATTTGCTTTCCATTCAGCGCTGCACAGCCGTTTAAAAGGTTGAACATTCAGCCATAAGAGCTCAAACGCAATCCAGTTAGAAGCCGGAACGGATCGCACGCGGCAGCAGATAGCAGATAGGACATATTTAGTGCTCTAGTGCCCAGTGCCAAGTGCCCATTTCCAAGTGCCAATTGTCAGTGTCATCAGATCCCAGCCAGAGGCAAAGACAATTAAAAGCCAAGTGACTCCAAATCCCCCAGTGAATTAAATCAGAAAATGTCGCTAATACCGTTTATACTCGACCTGGCCGAGGAGCTGCACGACTTTAATTTCAATCGCAGCGCCAGCCTCGGTCTGGGCCTCGGCATGGGCATGGACATAGACGACGGCTTCGGTATGTATCCGCTGGAGCAGCTGGCCGCCGCATCGGCTTCCACACAGTCGCTCCCGCAGTTGTCGCCCTCAAACAGCACGCGTCGTGGCACACGTCTCGCCCACTCGCACGGCCACGCCCACTCTCCGACAGCCACCAGTGGGGTTTTGTGGGTGCCTATCAAGGGTGGGGGACAGGTACAGGCTCAGCATCGCCATCATCCCTACAGCCGTGTGGCCGGCGCCAAGACTGTCTGCTGCAATAAGTCACTGCTCGAGTTGGAGAAGGAGCTGGGCGACAAGGTCAACTCCTCGTTGGCAAGTGCTACGAGCAGCTCGTCGGCAAGTGCCAGCAAATCGGCATCGGCATCGGCCTATTCGGTGGTCAATCGCAACGGCTTCCAGGTGAGCATGAATGTGAAGCAGTTCGCACCGGACGAGCTCACCGTGAAGACCATCGACAATTGCATCGTAGTCGAGGGGCAGCACGACGAGAAGGAGGATGGCCACGGTGTCATCTCGCGTCATTTTATACGCAAATACATGTTGCCGAAGGGCTTTGATCCGGCCGATGTCCACTCGACGCTGTCTTCGGATGGTATTCTAACTGTAAAGGCGCCACCACCGCCACCGCCGCCCGCATCCAAAGCGGGCGAGGAGCGACCCATTGAGCGCATCGTCGATATTCAGCAGCAGCCGCAGCAGCAGTCGGCTGCAGTACCGCTACCCATGATGGCGCAGACGAAGGATGCGCAGTTGCCAATTGGAAAAAGTGCAGCCAACGACGTGGAGCAGCCAACCCTAAAAACAGCTGCAGCAGCAACAGCAGCAACACCAGCAGTCGCTTCCAGCGACGAGCAGAAGAGCGCTGAAGAGCGCAATGGCAAYGGAGAGGCAGACGTCGACGTCGACGTCAACGCCGACGTTGACGCTGCCGGCGACGTCAATGCCAACACAAGCGTAGCTAAAACTGCTGATGAAACTGCAAATGCAAAAACAAAAGAAAAAGAGAAAGAGACTGAGCCCGTTGTCCAAACTTCCACTACCAATTCCAACTCAATTTCCATTTCCAATTCCAATGGTGACAATGGTGAACCGCAGCCAACTCCAGAGTCAAAGTCAATGGAAGTGGATGAAACTTCTGAAACTGACAATGTGGCCACTGCCGTCGTTGCCTCCACAGTTGCAGTAGCAGCCGCTGCCTCTGCCGAAAAGGAGGACTCCACCGACGCCAACGCCGTCAGTAGCAGTGGCACAGCCTCGGCAGAGGCCGACGGCACGAAAACCGAAGATGCCAATGCAAATGGCACTTCGTCCAGCTCCGATTCGAATTCGAAAGCCGAAAAGGCTGCCGTCGAAGAGGATGCCGAGGATGACACTATGCCGGCTGCCAAAAAAGCCAAAATCGAAGTCGAGGAGCAGCCTTCAGAGGCAGTAGAGAAAGTTGAAAAGGCCACCAAGGGCGCGGAGGAGATCGCTGCTGAAGATGCGGCTATTCTACTGGCCAAGAAGCAGGCAAGCGAGAACGGCGCAGCCGCCGGTAAAGCGGCAGAGGAGCCAACCCTCGCAGCGGCTAAGTGAATGTAGAGACTGATAATTGATGCGCAACCCAGAACTATAAAAGAACTAAAAAAAAAATATAATAACGATAAATAATGATAAACAAATATCAAATTGGAATGCGTTTTAATATATAAATGTTTTATGTGTTTTTTCAATAATTCGCAATAAATACATGAGATAGGGCCTGCAGGTAGACGAAATGCAAAAGGAGAAAGAGATGAGAAACTATGATATGAAATTATGATTTCCTAAACAAGTGTGAAACAATTACGACTACAAGTATTCAGTAAAACTAAGCACATTATGTACTTAAAACTTACAAGTAAATAAAGATTCAAAGAGTGCGTTTTGTGTTTTGTCTTTTCACTTGCTTTTCTTTACTCATTGCTGTTGTTTTCCAGTCTATGATTCTCGCTCTTCTCTTCACACAGGCATACTCTTTCTAGTTACGCTCGCTCAGTGGAGAGCATACTCTTTACAGCTATGCGATGTTTTTTCATCTTTCTCACTATGCTCTAGCAATTGAGCGATGTTTTCAGAAGAGCACGATTGCCGGCTATAAAAGCTGCAGCCGGCAGGCTGCGATGTTACAGTTGAACAACAGTATTAGTCAAAGTGAAGCTTCGCTGAGCGAAAAAAAAAGTTAAAAAAGCGCCAAAATCTTTGCGAAATCTGCATAACCTTAAATCTAATATCGCGCTAAAAAAAAAGTTAAATTGAAAATGTCGCTGTCCCATTTAATTACATTGGTTGATGCTCTGAACGAGCCTCGCAATCCCGTCTACGATTTTGGTATGGGAATGAATCCACTTCAGTTCCAATCCAGGGGCATGAACTCGTCGCTGTTGAGTCCATGGCAGTGCCCACATCCCGAGTGCCCAACCTCGCCGGTCGGAAAGATTTTGGCCAATCGCCGCGGACGTGGCGACATGACAAAACTAGCGAATGGTGAGCTCGATGCTTGGAGCATGCCCATTGCACAGGTGGGCAAAGATGGCTACCAGGTGTGCATGGATGTCAGCCAGTTCACGCCCAGAGAGCTGAACGTGAAGGTGGCCGACAACTGGATCACGGTTGAGGGCAAGCACGAAGAGCGCGAGGACGGCCATGGCTACATCTCGCGCCATTTTGTGCGCCGTTATGCTCTGCCCAAAGGCTACGACGGAGATAAGGTCATCTCCTCTCTGTCATCCGATGGCATTCTCTCCGTTAGTGTTCCTAAGCCGCAGCCCAATGAGGACAAGACCAAGGAGCGCGTGGTTCAAATTCAGCAAGTGGGCCCAGCTCATCTGAACATCAAGCGAAACGAGGAAGAGTCCAAGCCGAAGACCCCCACCAATGGAAATAACACCAAATAGAAAGCCAGCGATCAACGTTAAACCAAAGTCAACCTCATTTCTCATCATATTTCATGTATTGCATGTATTTATTAAAAAGTCATATTTATTGTAATGAGCGAAAGACTAATATGTTAAAAAGTGAAAAATAAATTGTTTGTAAAACTAATAACCAAATTTCGTGTAATTTTTTCATCCGCCATTTTTCTTTTCATATTCCTTTCTTCGGACTATCGCAGTCTAGTTCGCTCCTTTTAGTTCCACCCGCCATTAAGTTCACGTGATTCTCTTTGGAATAGCTTTCACTTTTTATTCGTTTTGCATATATATTTATTTAAATAATGTAATGCATAATAAAAAATGTCGCGATCATAAGTATGCACACAGTATATATATATTATGCTAATTCTATATATCTAAATCGGCTTCAATTTCAATTACATTTTTCAATTTTATCGCAAGCTGAGGATTTACATAGAGAGCCGCTGAAGCTGCACGGAGAAGCTCCCAGGCATTGGGGCTTTTGCACTTTTAATCATCAAAATGCCATTTTAAATATAGTTAAAAACTACATACATATGTGTATATATATATTTATGCATTGTTATTGGTTGTGTTGTTGCTGCTGTTAATATTATTATTATTAATAATATTAGTTTTAATTTAATGTATGTATGTATGTTAGGTTATGTGGTTTTATGTGTATATATATTCAATGACGCTTAATCACAGATCAATTTTTAAAATTTTCATTTGACTTAGAAGTTAAGAAACAAAATACAAAATGTCACAAGTTCACGTCTACAGTTGCATGTATGTCATTACATATTTTAGTACATATATATAAATATATGAGCTACACATAAAAAATGGATTTGGCTTGATCAGCAGGTGGAGGAAAAAGGACAGTGGCAGGGACCGGGGCCGGGGTAGAAGGACTGGCTGACATCCAGCGCTAGCTGTGAAAATGGGCAAATTGTATTTCTGCATGAATCGCAGCGATTTAGTCGATTTGTATATCTATCTATAAGTTGTATGTTTGTTCATTTGTTCAGTGCCTGTCTATAAAGTACTATATTCCTATATAGATACTGTTTCCCCTCTTTTTATCAAATGAAACGTATTTCTCTTGTTTGTTCTAAACATATATGTTTTTTCATGTTGTTGTTATGTTTGCAGTCTCAAAATTGTTTATGGGCTTTGTGTATATGTGGCTACGAGATACGAAATTAACTTAGGAACGGTTCCAAGGATGGGATAGGTCAAAGAACAAAGATATAAACAACGAGAATATATGAATTTGTGGGTCTGTTTGTCTGAATACTTTAAACATCTTAAGAGAGTTAGGGGACAATCACTTTTTGATGAGACTTTCACAGCTGCTGCTGAGATTTGGCAACGACTTGAAGAACAATCGGGAACGATCTATTTTCGCCTCCCCCGACGAACGATTCGAGCACTTGCTGCCCTTATTCGTCTCATCCACGCCCTTATCAAAAGAGCGACGAAGCACCAGGTGCTGCTGCTGCTGGTGTTGGTGTTGGTGTTGGTGTCCGGCGTAGGCAGCTGGTGGCGAGAGCGGTGAGGCTGGCAGCTCAATATCCAGGACGGTGTCATTGCCACCGGCATTCTTGCAGCGCAGCATCGCTTCCTGTTCCATGTCCAGCTTGGTGTCCGAATAGCGACGCACGTCCGCTTCCCTGCCCAGTCGACAGTCAGCAGCAGTGGCACAACAGCTGAGTCCCGCCTGCTCCCCCTCGCCTAATATGCTCGAGTGGCGATAATCGATCTTTGGTGGTGTGCTGTAATCGTAGGCGAGCGGCGTGCCCACACCCACGCACATGGGCGAGTCATTGAGTATATCACGATTCTCCAGAAAAATGGACGAGTTGGAGTAGCGCTTCGACTGATGCGGCTTATAGACAAAGCCGCCTAAGCCATTGGCCACAGCATGCGAGACACCGGAGCTAATCGATGGCGCCTTGTGTTCACCACTGCCTGTAAATGAGAGGACGGGATTAGCAAGTGAATTAGCAAGAGGAACTATCTATCGACTAACCACTAAAGCTGCTTAGCTGCATCCCGTGCTCACGGCCCGTGTCTGTGGATATGCCGCTAGCACTGAGATCTTGGCGTGAGCCGGCGCATAGATCTGTCGCCGATCCGCGGCTGGAGCTCTCCGAGTGCTCCAGCACATTGTGTATCGAGTCATGGAACGGCGTCATACTGCCCGAGCCCTGCGGACAGGGCCGAAACGAGGAGATCTGCGAGACGACATCGTCCAGCGCCCAGTCGCGATCGTAGTTGTGCTGCGACTGCGAGCACTCAATGTTGGCCGCCACAGCCACCTGGCCCAGCTGCTGACCAAGCTGTTGGCCATGCAGATGCTGCTGTTGCTGCAGATGTTGTGCGTGCGCGTCCTCCGTCTGAGTGCCCGCGCTGCTGCTGCTATGCGCCACTGCGTCCAACTGCAGCATGTGTTGCGGCGAGGCGTTCAACAGACGCTGCTGCAGCTGCAACTGCATCTGTTGCTGGTGCTGATGCTGATGCAGACCCGTTGAGCCGCCGTTCTCCATGGGGCCACAGCTCGAATCGTGCACTGAGTGACCTGCGCCACCCGACGCATTGATCTCCACGGTTCCATTGATGGCACCACGGCCATGCATCGAGCTGTGCCGCTCGTTGAACTGATGGTGGGCAGCCACAGGTGAAGGTGGCGCCAATGGATGAATCTTTTCCGGTGCGTTCTGAATGAGCAGAATCCTATAAGATTAAGAACTATTAGAAAATGTGCAGAAATTGCTTAAGGATATAATCGGGTCTGATAGAGATATACTGAGACACTTTCTTACTATTCATTCATTTCATGCCTCTACCTTATGTGATTTTCAGAATTTAATTGTTTATACAGACGGACTGCTGAACTAAGCTAGCTCTACTCTATTTATCAAAAATATGTATTATAAGTGAGGACTGGGAAATTTTCTTCTCTTACTAATACAATTATACTGCTACTACTGCACCAAGTCTATTATTTCTATTCCGTCTATTACAACTATTCCTTCTACTATTCCTACTACTACTTTTCCTAATACTACCTTTACTACTATTCCTACTACATATACTACTACTACTCTGCGACTGCCTCTATTATTTTACTCTTACTATTACTAAGACTACCTCTATTACTACTACTATTATTTCCACTGTAACTGCTACTACTACAACTATTAAGGACAACTTCTACCAGTTCTATAACTACTAAACCTTCATATAAAAAGTAAGTAACATTTCAAACTGTATTTATAGCACTTATATAGAATAATTTCAGCGCCCGATGTAATCAATATGTTTTCATTTCGATAGATATAAAATGCTATATGGCCTATGGATAACGCAACAGCTGGATTCATCATAGTTTTCACAATTGTGCAATCGTTTTTATAGCTGTTGGGAAACAGATGTGGGAAATTACTTTGGGTACTTCTCGATATTTCCACGGCTAGTTTTGTATTTAAAACCAAAACTCAACAATTGGCTCGTTAGTTTTGATTTGGAATTTAAATTGAAATGAAGCTCTACCCGTTGCTGATATGTGTCGCACTATTTGTGGGCAACATTGAGGGCTATGCCAAAAAGACGCCCAAATGTGTCGGGCAACCAAGTAAGTGATTAAATGAATCTAATAGATCGATTAACTAACTAATGAAGCACCTCAGTTAAAGACGTTTGCAACCTGCGCAGAGATCTGGGTCACAATAAGTACATCTGGTGCAAAGAGTACGCCATGGCTGAAATGTGGTACTACAATATGATCCACAACACCTGCAATAAGATGATCTATATGGGCTGCGGAGGCAACTTTAATCGCTTTTGCTCTGAGGCCGACTGTGCTAAAAAGTGCATAACAACAAAGAAACACGGGTAAATCTTTCGGAAATTACAAATTTAAAAGTTAACTATTGGCAAACCCTAAAGTAAACTCTTAATCTATCCTACTACTCTGTGAAGGCCTATTTTTGTTTAAGATGATTGTCAAATTGGTATACAAGAAATAATTGAAATATAAATGCTATATAGAGATTCGATATACAATACTATAAATTTATAAATATATTAGAATCGATAAATGCTAATAAATGTTTCTTTAATTTGTTGTTGTTGAGTTACTTTCATCTTAATACATATCCGATAGACAACTATATCAGAGATGATCTAAATATAGATTTCAGAGACAGCGTGCTATATACAGATGCTGATAATTCTTACATATCTGTATACAAATTTACATATGGCTATTACAAAAATTCTGTCTAATATAAATTAATAGCTGGACAACTAATCCTAATCAGAAATATATTACTAGAGCCGTCTATATACAATGATTAACTATCAAAGTTTCGAGTTATCTTCCTTTGGCTGGTCTACTCGCCTGTTGAGTGCTTTCCAGCGATGGCAGAGATGCAGATAGGCCTTACACTGAATGTACATGAAGACAATGCCGCCAGTGAGACCGACGGTAACAACAGCGAGCTTTGTCCAGAACGGCCAATCTGTGTGTGGTTGAAAAATACAGTACAGTTTAATGATAGCCATTACATATGTGTAGAGAGTGCAAGTTAATGGGGTATACGAACCAATCACTCCACGCTTTACATCATCTGCGGCCCGCTCGATGAGCACACACAGCGACCAAATGACGCACAACGCGGCCGCTGAGTGGAAGAGCACCGAACAGCAGAGCCGGCGCCTCTCAATGCTAGAGATGTCAAGGCTGCGCCACTGTCAGCCGCAAAGCAATCGATGGCCCGGCACAGTGCGACAGATAGAGAGGGAGCGAAAGGAAGCCAAACAATGCGCAAAAGAAAAAAAAATCAAACAAAAACAAAAACAATGCGAAATAAATTAGTTTGAGTAATAGAGATGGAGAAATGTCAGCTGCTGCTGCTGCTGCGGCTGCTGCTGCTGCTGCTGCTGCCACTTACCTCATTGAAGGGCTTTATTTTGGTGTGCATGATGAAGGGGAACTTGCATAGCTCGCAGGAGTTGGTCGCCGATGCCGTCAGCCACTGTTGCAGGCACGCCTGGTGCACATACTTCAAGCTGCCGGAGCAGTAGCAGGGCGTCAGCAGCGGATTCTGTGGATCGCTCTCGCAGTGGCAGATGCGGCATATATCGCCGCTGTTCTGTGACGCTTGGCTGCTGCCCGAGCCGAATCTGCAATAAATTGTGAGCTCCATTATAAGTTGACCTTTAAATGTAAAGTGCGTATGTCCGTATTTATGTATGTTTCCCCGGGTCGTGACCTTCAACGGAGAGCTTAAACCGATTATTCGATGTGAAATGGGCAGCCATTTGTTGCCCCATTTGATTGGCAGCTAAAAGAAAACCAGCCCCAAGCGCTCAATCCACACGGCTTATCCCCAGCCTTTGTCCGCCCACTTTTACAAAGCAGACGGATTTGGGGTCAGGTCAGGCCGCTGGACCGAGCCTGGGCGGCTTTGTTCTTTCATTATATCCAAATAAATATAGGCTTATGTGTGGGCAATTTTATAGTCTTGTGATTACAGCTAAAAAGTGGACGCAACTCCCTATAGGACACTATATAACTCAATTTGTATATATATTTAGCAGAGTATGATATATACTATAATTTATCGGATATTTATCAATCCACGTCTATAGCAATTGAGTTTGATTGGGATAACGCGACTTGCGAAATTCACTTTCGATATGGGAAAGTTAATGCATGATAAGGAAGCCAAATGAACGATAAAATTGGAACGTGGCACAGTCGATCGATTTATATATGTACATATATATGTATATATAAACGTCATTTATTTTCAGTTAAACGATTTATGTATTTTTTTTATATTCACTGTAATAAATTGATTATTTTATTGTTCTTGTTTTCACTCGTTGGTTTCTCTTTTTTCTCCCCTTCTTGCGCTGAATATTTAATATATAATAGTGAAAATAATTAATATTTTTATTAGTTTCAATTTGATGTCGCTTTATTTTTAGATTTTTCTCTGTAGTTTTTTCTCCATCATTTGTAATTAATTCTAATTATTGCGATAGGCTCTGCTTATTGCCTATACAAAAACAAAACAGTACTAATTATATTATATAATTTGTGTATCTACTATTTACTATCTACATAGGTCGCACTGATCTGCTATTTACATATTCTGTTTTCTAGTCGAGCTCGCGCTTTTGTTGATCAACAATTTATAAATCAATTTGCGTACAACTTAGACCCAGAGTGTCTTTGGGTAAATAGAGGTATTTAATTTAGTTAGTGCATTGCATTTTCTATGGCATACTGATACAATCATATAATGATATTTATTTGCTCGTACTAGATACATATATATGTACGTATGTATATGTCTGCGATTTAAGTGTTTGCTGCTTAGAGTGAGGCTTGCAAACAAAAGAGAAACGCAGTTCTATTAGATTACGTACATACATACATACATATACGTGTGTGTATATATGTACACATGTGTATATTTTTTCTCTTCAATGTTGTCGACAAATGTTTAATTTCCTAGAAAGCTCTAATCAATTTATGAGCGCGTGTATATATATATA